CAAAAAAAAAAAAAAAGGTAGCCAGGTGTGGTGGCTAACACCTATAATCCTAGCACTTTGGGAAACCAAGGCAGGAGGATCACTTGAACTCGGGAGTTTGAGACCAGCCTAGGCAACGGGGTGAAACCCAGGCTCTACAAAAAAATACAAAAATTAGTCAGACATGGTGGCTTGTGCCTATGGTCCTAGCTACTTGGGAGGCTGAGGTGGAAGGATCACTTGAGCCCAGGAGGTGGAGGCTGCAGTGAGCTGAGATCATGCCACTGTACCACAGCCTGGGCAGGAGAGCAAGACCTTGTCTCAAAAAAAAAAAAAATTGTCAAAACAACCCATGGAGATAGATCTTGTTATCCCTAATTAACAAATGAAGGCATCAAAGCCCAGAGAAGTTAAGCAGCTTGCTCAAGTTCACACAGCTAGGAACACTGCGTAGTTCACGTCATGTTCATGAGATTCCCTGAATCTCACATCACCATCTGTAAAGAGGAGGCTGGGCTGGGTGCAGTGGCTCACGCCTGTAATCCCAGCACTTTGGGAGGCCGAGGCGGGCAGATCACTTGAGGTCAGGAGTTCAAGACCAGCCTGGCCAACGTGGCAAAACTCCATCTCTACTAAAAAATACAAAAATTAGCCAGGTGTGGTGGCACGCACCTGTAATCCCAGCTACTTGGGAGGCTGAGGCACGAGAATCACTTGAACCTGGGAGGCGGAGGTTGCAGTGAACTGAGATCATGCCACTGCACTCTAGCCTGGGCTTCAGAGTGAGACTCTGTCTCAAAAAAAAAAAAAAAAAAAGAGAGAGAAGGCTGAACTAGAGTAGAGGATAGCTAGGGCAAGTGAGATGACACAAGGTTGTTCAGCACTTTCTCTGTGCCCAGCTCCTCGTTTTGCATTCAGTGTGTCATTTACTCCTGAGACAATCCTGCAAGGCAGGTCACTAGCTAATAAAACGGGAGAGTAGATTTTCAAATCTAGGAGGTCGGGCCACACCCAGTGCTCTCAGCTACCTCACAACACTGCCTCCCCTCCCCCGAGGCCAACACGTCCCAGCTCCTCACAATGTTACCACACAAATCCCATCCTCTCTCCAGACTGAAGCCTTTCTGTGGGCTGGAGATGACCCCACTGCAAGTGGCAAGCGAAAGGTATGGCCAGGCAAAGCCACCACTCTTACTTCATACGTTTCCACCAAGACTTCCCTGGTGACAAAGGGGCGCAGAGGGGTGGGGAACTTGACAGCTTTCACATTCTGGAAGTTGACCTGGAAGTGTTCTAGATTCTGAGCTTCATAACGCAGGTCGATCTACAGAGAAATGAACAGAAAGGAGGGCTAGTCTGGGCACAGTCACACTGACATCTGCAATGCCAAGGAGCCGGCAAGTCATGAGATCCACCCCACCTTCCCCACCAGCTTGCCCCACAGGACTTGTCCAGAAACTCAGGAGGCAAAATCCGTGGGCTACAGCCTGCCCCAACAATCCCAGATCTCTGTGTGAATTCCTGGAGGCTGCAGACAGCAGGTGCCCTGGTGGGCTTTGGGCTGTACTGCTTCTCCGCTACTCTCGCCCTTGCCACCCGTCTGCTTCACACCAGCCCACGGGTCCCTTCTCCGTCTCCCTGGGATCTGGCTTCTCTAGGCCCAGTCCCCAGCCCTCTCTTTCCATGAGGGCCAGCATGCTGTAGCCACTTCCACACAGGGCTCCCCGTCTCACAGCAGCTCTCCACCCACTGCATCAACATTGCCACCGCTACTCTCCCAGCCACCACTCAACAGACCCAAAGGACCAGTTCCAGGTTTATCATCAACCTCTGTGGGCATCCGGGGCTGGTGCTGCTGCTGACCTGGCTCTTCGTGGTGGCTCTTTCTCTGGCACCTGCCCTTCACTCTCCCGGCGTCCCTGCTGCCTCTCACTGTCCTGTCTTGGCCGGGTCTCCTGTACCCCCAGAAGCTGATGTCCTTTCTCCTGACTGAAGTCAGCGTGTGTGCCCCCTTGACATCCACCAAGCCCTCAGCCGGTGCCTCCTCTGACAGCACCTTGATCCCCAGGTCAGACCTCAATGCCAGCCTCCAGAGTGACATATCCAATGACACCTGCATGTGGCCCGGTGGGAGCCCAGAGACCCTGAAGCTCAACATCTAAATGGAATTTCCCTTCACCATCCCCACACATTCAGTCACCTTTGAGTCCCCAGATCACGCCTTCTCTCTTCCTGTCCGTGCACAGCAACGGCCCAGTGCCATCAAGTCTGCAGACCTCACTGCCCTCAGATCAGTCCCTCTCCCACAATGCCATTCCCAAGGCACATGCCCTCAGATTCCGTCACCTGAGCTCAAACAGAGGTGCCTCGGGTGTGCTCCTTGACCCATCCTTCCCCTCCGATCCATCACCTGCATGGTGAAGTCTGCACTCCTTAGAATGGCATCCAGGTGGGTCATGATTTGGCCCCTACTTCTCTGTCCAGGTCCATCTCTCATGGCACCTTCCCCTTCCTTTTACCACCCAAGACCTGGCCTCACCCAACTCCACAGAGTGCTCGACATCCCAGAGTGGCTAACACCCCCAGCTCTCCTCTGGCTTCTTTACTGCCTCTGATTGGAATGTTATTCTCCCACTTGGTCCAACTGCAAACACCAGTCACCTTTCAATACGCAGCTCAAGCCAAGGACAGCAACCACGTCCTCCTCTGAGCCCTGCTGAACCATGCTCAGGTTCAGCCAGGCTCAGGTTCATTGCTTCCAGGGCCTCCCTCAGATACCAGATGGCTCAGTCCCTGACTTAAAATTGCATATTTGCATATAACCTATGCATATCCTCCTACATACTTTAAATCATCTCTAGATTATTTATAATACCTAACACAACCTAAACACTCTGTAAATCATTGTTAAACTGCATTGTTAAGGGAATAATGCAAGAAAAAAAAAGTCTGTACATGTTCAATACAGATGCAACTGTCATATACCTAACTACATTTTTTATTGAATCCAGGGATACACAACCCATGGACAGAGGGCTAACTGTCTTTCTTTTTTTTTTTTAGATGGAGGCTTGCTCTGTTGCCCAGCCTGGAGTGCAAAAGCGTGATCTTGGCTCACTGCAACCTCCGCCTCCCGGGTTCAAGTGATTCTCCTGCCTCAGCCTCTTGAGTAGCTGGGATTACAGGTGTGTGCCACCATGCCCGGCTAATTTTTGTATTTTTAGTAGAGACAGTGTTTCACCATGTTGGCCAGGCTGGTCTTGAACTCCTGACTTCAAGTGATCCACCTGCCACTGCCTCCCAAAGTGCTAGGATTACAGGTGTAAGCCACTGTGCCTGGCCCTGACTGTCTTTCTCAAGGATAGGAAAGCTCACTTGTTTTCTTTGTTTACCAGCTTCTAACAGAGTTTGGTTTTTGTTTTTTTTTTAGATGGGGTCTCCCTCTGTCACCCAGGCTGGAGTGCAGTGGCGTGATCATGGTTCACTGCAAACTCTGCCTCCCAGATTCAAGCGATTCTCCCACCTCAGCCTCCTGAGTAGCTGGGCTACAGGCAAGCACCACCATGCCTGGCTAATTTTTTGTATTTTTAGTAGAGATGAGGTTTCACCATGTTGCCCAAACTGGTCTCAAACTCCTATCCTCAAGCAATCCAGCCACCTCAGCCTCCCAAAGTCCTGAGATTACACGCATGAGCCACCGCACCAGCCCTAACAGAGATTTTAGTCACTATTACATAAACTTATAAATGAATGGAGAGATACTCACACACTATATCCAGACCCACAACTCTAAGGTTTCCAGCCTAGGAACGTGATGGGACTACTGACAGATGGAGAGAGGCTTAGTAGGAAGAGCTGATTTTTTAAGGCAAATGGGGTATAATTCAGAGACATGAGTTTGAAGTGATGGAACCACATGATGTCTGTCAGACTTCTGCAAGGGGAACTGAAACTCAGATGAGTGGGAAGATTGAGAGGAATTAATGCAGAGATGGTTGTTGGAATTGATGCCATTTTCTCTGTTTTAATTTGCTTTTATTATCAAATTACATTGCTCTGTAGCTATGAATGTTTGTGTCCCCCCAAAATTCCTGTGTTGAAATGCTAAGCCCTAAGGTGATGGTATTAGGAGATGAGGCCTTTAGGAGGTGATTAGGTCATGAGAGCAGAGCCTGCATGAATGGATTAGCACCTTTACACAAGGGACCCAAGACAGATCCCTTACCCCTTCCACCATGTGATGACACAGAAGGTGCCAATTATGAACCAGAAAGTGAGGCCTCACCAGACACCAAATCTGCCGATGCCTTGATCTAGAATTTTCAGCCTCCAGAACCTCGAGAAATACATTTCTGTTGTTTGTAAGCTACTTAGTTTATGGTATTCTGTCCGAACAGACTAAGAGACTTTCTGAACATTAGAATGAATCCCTAGGAGTTAAAATCTTAAATCAGAGGCTCTAAACAAAGACTTGGCAGGTTGCTTCTGAAAACCTGCCAATTTCTGCACTACCCAACTAGGAGCCAACAGGTGCCTACGTGGAGCCCCAACTCTCAGTGTGTTTGCTAAGTCTGTATCCTTATACAAATGTCCCAAGGGCCCTGAGCATGAAGAAGGTCCTTGTTGACTCAATTTGCCCTGGAATCAAAGCAGAACAAAGGCACAGTGTGTGACTTTGCTAATTATTTTCTCACTCTGGAGTCAGTGATTATGGCAGAAATAATGCTAGATGCTCTCCACCAGAATCATTTCCTTTTCCTCCCTGGCACAAAGGAAGATGGTGTTTCCCAAGCTCACAGTTAACATCGGGCCCATGCGGTTAAAGCTCTGATCAGTGAACGGGGAAGAAGCGATGTTTGCCACTTCCAGGCCTGGCCACAAAATCTCTTATGTGACCCTGCATGGCCTCTCCCTTCAATCCACGCTGACCCCAGATGACACATGTTGAAGGAGGCAGTGCCAAACTTGGGAAGAAATTGAGTCCCCTGAAACTAGGGAGTAGAGCTTCCTCTCTTGACCGGGCACGGTGGCTTAGGTCTGTTATCTCAGCACTTTGGAAGGCGGAGGAGGGAGAATGGCTTGAGCCCAGGAGTTCGAGATCAGCCTGGGCAACATAGCAAGACCCTGTCTCTATTTTTAAAACAATAAAATAAAGAGCTCCCTTTCTCTGCCTCAGTTCACCTGCATTGAACTTTGTTTTTTGTTTTTATTTTTCTTTTGAGATGGAGTCTCGCTCTGTCGCTCAGGCTGGAGTGCAGTGGCGTGATCTCAGCTCCCTGCAACCTCCGTCTCAGGTTCAAGCAATTCTCATGCCTCAGTCTCCTGAGTAGCTGGGAATACAGGCATGTACCACCACGCCCAGCTAATTTTTGTATTTTTAGTAGAGACAGTGTTACACCATATTGGCCAGGTTGATCTCGAACTCCTGGCCTCAAGTGATCAACCCGCCTCAGCCTCCCAAAGCACTAGGATTACACACATGAGCCACCACTCTCGGCCAGAACTTTGATATAAGCAAAAACTTAACTCGTTGCATTAAGCCACTGAGATTTGGGTGTTCTCTGTTTTATCAGCTAGTGTTACCAGCTCTAACACATCACATGAGCTATGACATACCGGAAAATTATTCATTCAACATTTACTAAGCAGCAGCTAATGGCAAGAACTATGTTAGGTGCTAGTTACAGCTGAGGGGAGGAGAACTCACCTGTTGGACCATCAGCTTCTCAAATTCCTCCACAATCTCAGGCAAGCTAAGCCACTTGATGCCTGGCAAAAGTCCGAGGACTCGGCTGCCAATCTTCATCAGCAGCAGGTCCATATGCACCTGAGCGAGCAGGCCAGGGTGTAACACCTGTCGGAAAGAGGAACCGTGAGACTGGAGGAGAAATCCGCTGGACACATTTTACCCAGCCAGGGCTGGGTCCCACCATCCAAGGAAGAGCCAGGTGGTTTCTCATCAAAGGAAAGAGAATGTGGTCCTGACTTCCAAGCAGCTAGTTCACTCCAGACCCAGTTCATTTTCCTCTATCAGATTATTCACAGCGCCACTTCAAGCCAATAAATGAAACAGCTTGCATGAAATAAGCTCTCAGATATTGGTAAGGCAAACAGAAATAAACGTGGGGGCGATTTGCATGGCAGGTGTTTCTGATCTGGGAAAGCTCAGTGGAGAGGTGAGCTGTGAGCTCTCAGAGCACTTACTTTCACTGCCACGGGGATGAGGTGACCTGGCTCAAGTTGGTGGCCAGGGACCTGAGCCTGAGACACCCCTGCGTTTGATCCAACCAGGTCAGCTTTAGGGAGGAGCAGCCTTTCTAGAAACGACTGGTCTGCGAGATTTCCTGGAGGTTTCCGGCCATTTCCAAGGTATCCAAAGAGCTCTCTCAGGCCCCCGACTGCCCCAGCATCTGGGACGGGCGGCAGACAGGAGGCCCTGCCAAGTCTCTGGACGCTGTCAGTCTCCAGGAACGCAGTGTTGGCGTATGCTTTGTACACCTGGGCCACGCAGCCTGAGCCCACAGGTTCCCGGTTCTCAAAAGAGAGGATGCTCCCCCAGTCCTCCCCAAAAGCCTGCCGAAGGAAGCGCTCAGTGTGAGCCCACGGGTGGGGGGTCACTCGGACATGCAGCTTGGAAAACTGGGCACAGAAAGCCTCGGAAAACAGATCGCGCCGGGTGCTGGCCCACTGGCCCAGTTTGATGTAGGTTGGGCCTGAGGTCTCGGTGGCTTTCAGAAGCAGGTGGAGCCAGAGGGTGGAGACGCTGGGAGCCAGGTAGGTGAGGGGGTAGAGGAGAAGGAGGGGGAAGAATTTCACCAACAGAGCGCCGGCGCGAAGCCAGAGGCGGAGATGCAGGAAGACGCCGTCCAGAGGTCCCGCTCGGGGGAGGCTCTCAGCGAGCCCCGCGCCGGCCGC